TCCAGCCTGGGTAACAAAAGTGAAACTCCATCTCAAAAAAATAGATAGATAGATAGATAGATAGATAGATAGATAGATAGATAGATAGATAGACAGATAGATAGATAAAGTTTAAATCACTATGCAGATAAATTCTGCAGAAAATCTTCCTCCTCTTTTTCCTTATGGAAATCCTGCTTCGTTTTTAATATCCAAATAAAATGACATGCCCTACAAAAATGTCCCCACAGGGACCCCAGCAGAAGTAATAAAAACTCTTTTTACCAAGAACATGTTGCTTATACTTCTAGTAATTAACTTGTTTATAAGTCCTCAACTTTAACAACATTAGCTTGGTGGCAGATTAAAGTGTTCATTATGTCCAAATCCACCAAGCAGTATTAATACTTTTCACACACCAGGCAAAAGATTAACATATCTCTTGTGACAAAAGTTTGGGCTTTTATAATACTTTTTTTTTTTTTTACATTTTGATTTTAAGAATTAGGTAAAAAATGTATACCCTTCCCTTCTCCCACCAAATCAACTACTTCCTGACTTTCCTCTTTCTCACAATGGCAAAACCATTGAGACCTTTGAATCTCCTGTGAGTCCTCTCTCTTCCTTCCATGCTTGTTGAGGACCTTGAGCTGGTCCTCCACAATGACTTTTGCATTTGTTGCCTGTTTTCCAATTCCACTATCAAGGTCCTTTTTCAGTCCCTCTTTTCCTTTTATAGAGAACATATCAATAGGCCTCTAACTGGACACATTCCCATAATCAATACTAATAATTTAACAACAGAGTTCCAAAATACATGAAGAAAAAAAAAAGGAAAAAAATAGAAAATGACCAAAAAAGTGACAGTGATATTTAAATGTTTAATGAAAAATTTCATAGTGAAACAATTTGGCAGAGGACATTTATAAAACATTTCATAATAAATGCAGAACATAGTTTATTTTCCAAGTGCATATGTAAAATTCATAGATAGAACAGACTTCTGACCATAAATGAGTCTCAGTAAATTTCAAAGAATCAAAATCATGGAGAGAACATTCTATGACTACAAAGACATTAGGTCAGAAACCCATAATAAAATATATCTAGAAAATGCTCTACATATTTGGAAATTAAGCAGTACACACACACACACACACACACACACACACGCGTGCGCGCACGCGCGCGCGCACCCATGGGTCAAAGAACAAATAAGAGAAATATTTTTGAATTCAAAGTAAGTAATAATGAAAACATAACATAGCAAAATTTGTGGAATGTACCTAACGCATTACTAAAATAAAAATGTATGACTTTAAATACCTATTTAGGATATAAAGGTAAAATAAAGACTCCAACTTAAGAAGCAAGAAAAAGAGCAAATGATATACAAAGGAAGTAAAAGAAAAAAATCACAAATAACAGGAGAGACAAATAAAAAATAAAAGACAAACAGAAAAATATTAAAAATCTGAAAGCTATTTCTTTGAAAATAATAATAAAATTAATAAAGCCCTCAGTAAGGCTTACAAAAAATGGAAGAGAAAAAACAAATTACAATAATAGTAATACAATAGAAAGCATCAATACAGATCTTTGAAAATTAAAAGGATTAAAAAGGGGGATATTATGAACAATTTTATGCAAATAAATTCAACAACTTAGATGAAATTGACGAAATACCCTGAAAAGCACACATTCATAAAATTGGCTCAAGAAAAACTAGAAATTCTGAATGGCCCTATATTTATTAAATAATTTGAATTTGAAATTTAAAATCTTCCCCAAATGAAAACCACCAACCCAGGTGTCTTCATTGACAAATTCTACCACATATTTTAAAAAGAAACTTTATCCAAATCCTCCCAAAATATAAAAGAAAAAGATCAAATTAGCTTATTTGATGAGGTGACTATTAGAATAACATGTAAGTCGGATAAAGACACGATAAAAAGCTACAGACCAATATTCCTTATGAACAGAGATGCAAAGATTCTTAACAAACAATTAATAAACCAAATCCAGCCACATGTAAGTGAAAAAATACAAAGCATATTTTATCCCCAGAATGCAAGGTCAGTTTAATATTTTCTGGAGGTCTCAACCACTTAAGCCAAGAATCAAGAAAAAAAGGAAGAAGCAAAAATGTCTTCATTTACAGATAATGTAATCATGTTTGAATAAAATACTAAATGCTAAGGAACCACCACCAACAACAAAATGCTACTAGAACTAACTAATGGTCTTAGAAATGTTGCAAAAACAGTTGGTTAATACACCAAAAAATCAATTATATTCCTCTGTACCAAAAATAAATGCTAAAATTTAGAATTTTAAAATGCCATTTATTATACCATTAGAAATCACAAAAATAGAAACACACCTTTAAAGAGAGCGCTGTTTGCTGAAAACTACAAAATATTTATGAGAAAAGAAAAGATGACCTAAATAAATGGATAGATCCAGGTTCATGGACTAGAAGACTCATTACTAAGATGTTCTTTCACCTCAAATTAATGTATACATCTCACACTATCCTATCAAAACACCAGTATGTTCTTTCTAAAAAACTGACAAGCTGATTTGAAATTGTAAAAGGAATTAAAATGCTCTGTGGATAAAAAGTGAGAAAAAATTAACATTAAATTATAAACATAGATATAAAAGCAATCACCTTGAGAGATTATGAACATTACAGTCTTACCTTCTAAAGCATTCTGGGAACCATTCAAGACCCTTAAATAATAATAATAAGATATTATTTGTCCTTTTGTCTTGCTGTGATATTGAGGCTGGAGTGCAGTGGCTTTTCACAGGCACAATTATAGCACACTACTGCCTTAAACTTCAAACTCCATTTTTTTGTTTTGTTTTGGTTGTTTTTAGAGTCTCACTCTTGCCCAGGATAGAATACAGTGGCGCAGTCTTGGCTCACTGCAACCTCCACCTCCCAGGTTCAAGCAATTCTCCTCCCTCAGCCTTCTGAGTATCTGGTATTACAGGTGCCTGTCACCACACCTGGCTAATTTTTGTATTTTTAGTAGAGACAGTGTTTTACCACCTTGGCCAGATCGGTCTCAAACTCCCAATCTCGTGATCCACCTGCCTTGGCCTCCCAAAGTGCTAGGTTTACACGCATGAGCCACCGTGCTGGATCTACCCAAACTCTTATTCTTAAGCTATTCTTCTGCTTCAGCCTCTGAATTAATTATTTGCACTTTTTTTTTAAGAGGAAGTCTCACTCTATTTCTCCCAGGCTGGAGTGCTGTGGCATGATCTCAGCTCACTGAAAACTCCGCCTCCAGGGTTCAAGCTATTCTTCTGCCTCAGTCTCCTGAGTAGCAGGGATTATAGGCACCCACCACCACATCTGGCTAAGTTTTTGTATATTTAGTAGAGATGAGGTCTCACCATATTGGCCAGGCTGGTCTCAAACTCCCAACCTCAGGTGATCCGCCTGCTTCAGCCTTAATTATTTGCCTTTTTAAAACACAATTTCTCATGAATGTAAATAAAGTTTCTCCAGAGCTTAAGTGACATGTATTATAACAACAGATTAAATGCAGAAGCAAATTTGAGAATGTGACTTCTCTTATTTTAAGCCAGCAATTTAAAAAATATTGACTTTGAAATTAAAATTTTTGGCAAAAATGCAATATATCACCACTCTTCTGTTTTTTGACTTGGAAAATAATTTTTATTAATGTTTATGTTAATATGTAATGAATATTTTTTAATTCTCAGTTTTAATTTTAATATGGTAAATATTGATACAGATAATGCACATTAATAAAAACTCTTTGGGTGGCTCACGCCTGTAATCCCAGCACTTTGGGAGGCTGAGGCAGGTGGATCACGAGGTCAAAAGATCAAGACCATCCTGGTCAATATGGTGAAACCCTGTCTCTACTAAAAATACAAAAAATTAGGTGGGCACTGTGGCGTGTGCCTGTAATCCCAGCTACTCAGGAGGCTGAGGCAGGAGAATTGCCTGAACCCAGGAGGCGGAGGTTGTGGTGAGCTGAGATCGCGCCATTGCACTCCAGCCTGGGTAACAAGAGCGAAACTCCGTCTCAAAAAAAAAAAAAAAAACCCTTTGGGGCCTCAAAAACTTGAAAGCAAAGTGGTCCTGATACTAAAAACTTGAGAATCACTACAGTACAAGAACAATTTCTAAGTAGTACATGTGGGAAAAATAATTCAGATTACTAAAAGGAAAAACCAAAAAAATATATTTTAGAAGGGATTACTAAATGTTAATATTTAGATTTTCTTAATGAGACACACTATTAAGCCTCAGTTCTTAAATAAAATTCACCAATAAAGCAATAGGCTAAGGCCAACACAACAAAAGATACACAGAATTGTTTTCTACTTCTCCCCATAATGAAGCATCCCCAGTATAACAGAAATGAAAGTAGTCCTCCACGTCTCATGTCCAATTTTAAAGTTAGATTCTGCCTACACATTAAGCCCTGTTTTCGTTTTCCTAAACTCTCCTTCCCTTACGCTACTGTTTCAACCATCGTGATTACAACCTTCTAATATATTATATAATTTCCTTATTTCTAACATTTGTTTTATGTCTCCACCCCATAAGCTGAACAAGAGGAGGGAGGTTTGTTTTGTTTTTTCCTGCTTTATTCACTGATATATTCTCTGTACCTAGAATAGTGCATACTTGAAAATAGGCACAAAATATTTATTGAATAATCTAAGGAGTATTTTACTGAAGTAAATGTAAACTTCAGCATTTTACTAGGACTGAAGCAGTACGTCTTATCAGTTAATTCCTGCACACAGCTAGCCAATGCAAGTATCACATACTCAGGAGGAATGCTGTGGCTGAAGAGTTTTCTCTTCTAGTCCCAGAAATGAAGAAAGATAAGGAGACAAAGACAAGCAAAGGAGATGGGCTTGGACACAGTCCAAACTGGATGCAGTGGAAGTAGGTTTTTTCCAACCCCAGGATTAGGATTCCATAGACATAGACAAAGAAAAATGAAAGAACAACACACCTCTCTTCTCCCGATGTATTTCATCCAGAAGTTGCTCCTGCCTTTCTATTTGTTGAAACAGACACTGCAGCTCAGATTCCTTGTTTTCAGTCAAATTCCTGAGTTGCTGTCTGCAGAGCATCAGCTGGTGTCGCAGATTCTTCTCTTTGTTTTCTCTTTCTTTCAGTTCCTCACAAAGCCATTGAAGTTTAGTCTAAAAAATGACATTTATATCTAATGGTTAAAGAAATTCAGAAAAGTGTGGCATTTCAAAACATAAGGGAAAAAATGAGTAACATCATGATAATTTGAACAAATATAGATAATTACCAAAGTTTTGCAAAATTTTTAAATACTCGGGTTTAATTTGCATAATGGTTTATATCAATTAAAAGTCGGTTCAGAAATTAAGCCATAATATTCAGAGATTTTTATAAAATATTTGGTGTCATCCTTATAAAGACCAAATTTGGCCTATTAGACCTTCAATAATATTATAGGTAATCCTGTGATTTGATACATAGGGCATAGTATAGGAATTTAAAAATCAAATACATCCCAGAATAGACCGGAATAGAACTACAGACTTTTTATAAAAGAAGTATTACTTCAGAAAATCTTTTAAAAGATAACATTCCTAGCATGACTTCTGAAAATGCTTATTCCCATTGATCTAGCTAATTAGGTAAGAGGAGAGATTCCTTATGGACTAGAAGATACAGAGTTAATGTTTACACATCTAAGATACAAGGAAAGTGAATTTCGGCAACTCTTCTCCACAGACTCTAATCTCACCTATCTTCTCACCTATCTTTTTCTTTATCTCTCTCTCTCTCTCTTTTTTTTTTTTTTTTTTTGAGATATAATCTCACTTTGTTGCCCAGGATGGAGCTCAGTGGCAGGATTTTGGCTCACTGTAGCCTTGACCTCCCGGGCTCAAGCAATCCTCCTGATCAGCCTCCTCAGCAGCTGGAACTACAGGTGCCTGCCACCATGTCTAACTGTTTTTTGTATTTTTTGTAGAGTTGGGGTTTTGCCATGTTGCCCAGGCTGGCCTCAAACTCCTAAGCTCAGGAAATCCACCCATCTCAGCCTTTCAAAGTGCTGGGATTACTGGTGTGAGTGACCACACCCAGCCCTCACTTACCTTTAGTATTCAGATATTTAGAACAAGAATGGGCAAATAAATACTTCTTCCACCTTCAGTACAGCAGTATTTCAGTCAAGCCTCAGGATGTTCCTAAGTCAGGCTACCCTCCAATTTCTAGCTGATTTTAAACAATCTAGATAGTCTTCATCCCAATAAGAAGCAAAATGAGAGAAGCAGGAGATGAGATGGAAAACTTTAGCTAAGGGATAGTTTTTCTAAGTAGCACTCACTCATCCATAAGCAGGAAGTTTTTAGTCCTCTAGAAGTCTAGGAGCTTCTTAGGACAATCCATAATCTATTAGAAGAGGCTGTGATCAAATAGCTTAGCCTATGATTCAGTACAACTGGGATATGGCCCATAGACTAGGACTCCACCAATACACAAACTTTCAAACACCCCAGCAGCAAAGAAGAAACACAGCCCATTCAGTCAGAAGGCCCAGACAGTGCCTCTGTGACATAGATCAAAAATCACTGAAATGTAAGCAATGTATTTTATGTGAAATATACTGTCTTAAGGAAAATCATGCCTTTGAACATAAAACCTGCATCATAATTATAAATATAAACTCTCATCAAAAACAAAAGGGGGCCATCATAACAGTTCCTCTTCTGGAATGATGGTATATAGAATTCTGTGGAACTGGTCCCTAGTGAAATAGCTGTAAGTGCTAAAAATAATTGTTTAAAAAACTAACATTTCTAAATATTGTCCTATGGCCACACAGCAAATGAAGAAACATTTATTCAATAAACTCTATTTAACCTCATTAAAGTGGCATTTGAGACATAAATGACTCCCTCCTTCCTACCCTCAGTATGACAAAAGCTCCACTCCTCATTCTAGAAAAACTCTGCCAAGAAAACAGTCAAGGTACATGATAGCATGCTGGATGGGCAGATCATCAGGATTTTTCAGTCTTGCAGCTCTGATTTGCAGAAGCTAAATTCCCAGCAAGTGCAGCAAGATGTTGAGAATCCCTCCCTCCCGCAATGTCTGATAGGATGGTTACTCCACCCCAGGCACAGTAGGCTGAGAATACTGGAGTCTCAACTACCATTTCTCCAGGCCACTTATAATAAAGCTGTACTTATGAATACGCCTGATGGATACAGATCTTTTAAAATCCTCAACAAAATACTAGGAAACAGAATCCAGCAACCTATAAAATGAACATCATGATTGATATGGTTTGGCTCGGTGTCTCCACCCAAATATCATGTCGAATTGTAATTTCCAATGTTGGGGTAGGGACCCAGTAGGAAGTGACTGGATCATGGGGGCAGTTTCGCCCTTGCTGTTCTCATGATTGTGAGTGAGTTCTCAGGACATCTGGTGGTTTAAAGGTGTGTAGCAAACCCCTTTGCTCTCTCTCTCTCTCTCTCTCTCTCTCTCTCTCTCGTCTCCGTGTGAAGACAAGATGTGCCTGCTTCCCATTCACCCTTCCACCAGGATTGTAAGGTTCCTGAGGCCTCCCCAGCCAAGCACAGGCTATGGAACTGTGAGTCAATAAAACCTCTTTTCTTTATAAGTTACCCAGTCTCAGGTAGTTCTTTACAGAAGTGTGAGAACAAACTAATACAATGATCGAGTGGAAGTTATCCCAAGAATGCAAGGTTTAAGATAGGAAAATCGTTAATGTACTATACCATACTAATAGAATTAGGGACAAATGCCATATGATTATATCAACAAATACAGAAAAAGAATATAATAACATTAAACATTCCTTCATAATAAAGACACTCAAAAAACTGCAAATAGAAAAAACTGCTTAATATGATTTTTAAAATATCTACGGAAAACCCACAACTATTACCATACTTAACAGTAAAACTCTGAATGCTTTTGCTCTAAGATCAGAAACAAGAAAAGGATATCAGCTCTCACCACTTCTATCAAGGGTTAAGAAAAGGCAATTATACAAAAAATAAAAGGAAATAAAAATATGTAGATTGAAAAGGAAGAAGTGAACATATCTCTATTTGCAGGTAACAGGCTTATATAGCATCAAAAAAATATTTAGTTACAAATATAAAACTGCAAAACTTATATTCTAAAAACTATAAAATGCTTTTTATAAAACTGAAGACTAAGTGGGAAGATATCCTAGGTACATGGATCAAAAGAGAATATTATTAAGATAGGAATACACCCCACATGCATTGGTATCGGGATCCCTTTCAGAATCCCATCTGGCTTCTTTAAAGAAATTGATGAGTTGATCCTATGTTTCATATGGACAGGCAGGGGAATGAAAATAGCCCAAAAAAGATCTGGAAAAGAACGCAGTTGGAGGATTCATGCTTATCCATTCCAAAGCTTACTACAAAGCTACAGTAATCAAGATGGTATGGTATTGGCAAAAGGACTGATATACAGATTGATGAAACAGAATTGGAAGTCTAGAAATAAACTCATATATAAATGTCAATTGGTTTTCAACCACAGTGCCAAAACAATTTAATGTGGGAAAGAATAGTCTTACAAACAAATGGTCCTATGACAACTAAATACACAAATGCAAAAGAATTCATTTATACCCCTGCTTCATACCATATATAAAACCTAACCCAAAAAGGATCATAGACCTAAATGTTAAGAGCTGAAACTATAAGATTATTAAAAGAAAACACAGGCGTAAATCATTGTGACCTTGGCTCGGCAATGGACTAGAAAGTGGTGGACTAGAACTGGTGGTTGGATTTGTAGGTAACAGCTAAGGGGTTCTGGTTTTCTACTTGAGGTGATGAAAGTGTTGTAAAATCCAGCGTGGTAATGACTGCACAATTCTATAGATATACTAAGAAGCATTAAATGGTGCATTCTAAATGGATGAATGGTATATGAACTATACCTCAATTAAGCTGTTATTTAAACAAAAAAAAAGGAAGGGTAGAAAGTAAGTCAATATAGAAAAACAAAGCTAAAATTATACCTTTATGAATAAATGAGACCTGGCTTTAGTGCCTGCTATGCAATCTCTAGGTCTCTGTCTTGTCTGGATGTCATTGGCTAAACACAGGAAGTTCCCAAATTAAATTGGGCTACATACTTCCAATTATGATTGCAGAAATTTAACAAAGCATACTTTACCTCTCAATATTCCTCTGAAACATCCATGCAAATACAAAACAATAAAAAGCTTCCATAAGACAGAAAAGCAGGAAACAGGGTCAAGTCTTTGCCAGATAAAATAAGTACTTTCTATTATAACTTTCTACTGAAACATTAAGGAAGAATACAGGAAAAATCTGAGATGGTATACCACCATCCCCCTATGACAATCAAGGCAGCGAATTGGGCCGTTCTTTAGAAAGAGTTTTCTACGTAGAGTAGGAAACACTGAAGGCTGGAAATCAAGAGATCGTTGTAATACGCCAAACAAGTGAAAATGCAAAGGGAAGAACCAAACTGCACATTTTTGAGATATGATAGTTCCTCACATGTTATGGTTAAAGTAGGGAAAGTAATCAGTAATGTTCAAGAATATAACCCACAACGGCCAAGTTTCTAACTTACAAAACTGTGAGACAGGCTTTAGGTGTAACCCTAAGCACTCTTAGCCATGGTGGCCACAAAGAGATACACCTTCTGCTTGACCAAAAATGAGGAAAGAGTAAAAAGGACTTTGTCTTGCTACATGGGTACCAACTCAAGCCACAGTAAAATAAAGCACCAAGTAGACTCCTAAAGTTCCTCACTCCATGCCCTAGCTCCCAGATAGCATTTCTAAACTTACCCTAGGCCAGAAAAAATCATGTCACCCAGAAGGGAAACATACAAGCGTGGCTGGATTGACCATTTCCTGACTAAAGAGCCCTCGAACCTTGAATAAACATCAGGCGTAGTCAGGCAATAGCTGCCATAAGCCTTGCGAGAGATTCAGTACTGTGCTGGCTTCAGGTCTGACCCAGCATAGTCCCAGTGGTTGCAGACACAGAGATACTTGTTTCAAACCTTCTCCAGCTCCAGGCAGCTCAATACTGAGAGAAACACCATGTTTGTTTTGGGGGAAAGTCTGGAAGAGAAAAAAAGACTCTGCTTGGTAATCCAAGTGCTA